CGGTATTTACACATGTGTGACTTATTTATTTCACTTAGGATAATATCTTCAATATGTATCCATTTAATAATATTGATCTTAACTCAGAGGCTTGACAAATATTATGGGGAATATATTTTATTAGCCAATCTGCCCCAGGCATTTGTAGATAACTTCAGAAAAATTGTATGAGCACTGTGACCCCTATTAATAAACATCTAAACTTTGCCTTTGAGGTCATTGACAACAGGGACAAAATGGATACAGCTGCCCAGGCCCAGTGTACATGACTACAGACACGAGAACAGGCCCAGTTATTGCATTGTCATTAAAAAATAAAATCCTGCCTCCTCAGAGAAACCCAAAGACTTATCATTTAAGAGTAAAAATATGAAACCAGGTGACTGCTACCACTGTGGAGAGCCTGCACACCCAGAGAAAGAACTGCAAATGGGGTCTTTCTTCAGTTGGGATATGCCCCTATGCAAAGAGGAAAAACACTGGAAGTGTGACTACCCTCACCTCCAAAGGGAGGAAAGGCCATCTGCTTCCATTTTGGCTGCCTTGGAAGGCTAATGTTGCCTGAGGTCTCCCAAAGCCCCTCTCAAGAAAGGGAACATCATTCAACAAGAGCCTTAGATAATCTTTTTTTTTCAGCTTTAATTGAGTTTATTGGTACATTTTAGGGATACAGTACAGTTACATTCATTTTTGGGATCTTGTACATCTACATGACAAGTCTTGGTTCTCATTTTTCCCCTTGTCTCTGCCCTCCCTTCAGCCCCTCTTCTCCTCCCCATCTACAACCACTTTATTTCCATCTTTGAGCCTTAGATAATCTTGATGGGGCAGAAACAAACACATATTAAATTTATTTTAGACACTAGGGCTTTATCCTTTCCTACTGAAATTCTGTGGACTCCTTTCTAAAAAGATATATGCCTTGACTGGCATTCACAGTAACCTAAGGGCAAGTCCTTTATGATCCCTTTAACCTGCAGATTTGGGGAGCTGATTTTCACTCAGACCTACTTATTTTTCTCAGAATGCCCTGCTCCACTATTAGGAAGAGATTTTTGCCTCCTTAGATGCAACATCTTATTCACCTCCATTTTTAGGAGTATTAACATCAACCCCTAAGACAATATACTTAGAGATAATCCTAGGGAAATTTTCTCAAAAGTACATCCATGAGTCTGATATAGTAAAACCCCAAGAAGGATAGCTCACACTCAGCCTATTGTTATTTCTCTAAAAGACTCTGATATCTATCTTCATAGCTGAGAATATCCCATTAAATCAGAGGCCTACCAAGGACTTCAGCCTCTAGTTTCTAGAGTTCCAGTTTTTAGTTTCTAGCCTTGACAGTTCCCATGGTGCACTGACTGTCCCCATGCAACCTTCCCATCCTTCTGTCCTAAAACCAAATGGGAAATAGAGAAATCCAAGACTTATGGACTTAATCAAGCCACAGTGTTATTCTACTTTATGGTACCTAACTATATATTATCTTAATCCAAATTCTAAATGAAACTACATGTTTTACTATTTTATATCTTAAAGATGCTTTCTTTTATATCCTACATTGTCTAACTCACAATATCTATTTGCTTTTGAATGGTGCTGATACTATGGAAACTGTCCAATATTCTGGGCTGTACTAACTCAAGGCTACAGAAATACCCCCTTCCTTATTTTGAAATGCTTTGATAAAAGGATTAATAAATTTTAAATTGCAGCATTACTTCAGTATGTAGATAATTTTCTTCTGGGTAGCCCTATGAAACTGGACTCTGCTGAACATTCTGTTGTGGTTTTAAATTTTTCAAAGGTTTACAGAATACAAAAGGCTCAGAGGTCTCTACAAAAAGTTAAATACATATCTCATCAAAAAGTTAAGTACATATTTTTAATTCCAGGGGAATGAACTCTTACCTCTGAAAGGAGATCCTCTTAAAATGAGGTCACCACAAACTAAAAGACAACACAGGGCCTTCCTAGGTATCTTGGATTTTGCAAAATTTGGATCCCCAGTTTTGGCCTCATAGCTAAGGGCCTGAATATGAACTCCTAGATTGGACTAGAAGCCAGAAAGAGGGTTTTCTTTAAAGCTGACTGCTTCAGCTTTAGGAATCCCTGACTTAAATAATCCATTTACTCTCTATATAGCTGAAAAGCAGGACATATCATTGGGGGTGCTTATCCAAAGACTGGGAGGTATTCGTCAATCTGTGACTTGTTTTTCTAAATGATTAGACTCTGTCATTTGGATGGTCAGGATGCCTACATGCTGTAGCTGCCATAGGACTCATGGCTATTGAGGCTACTAAATTAATGTTAGGATACCCCCATCAGGTCTTAAGTGTTCTTAAAGTGAAAGAGCATCAATGGCTAACTGGAGAACAGCTGTCTAAATGTCAAGCCCTACTGTTAGAATCTCCAGAAATTACTGTCAAGATCTGCCAAACTTTAAATCCAGCTACCCTCCCAGGAGGAGACAATCTTCTCACTTCTGTGTTGAAACTATAGAACATGCTTACTATAGTAGGCTCTATTTCAAGAACAAGACTTTGGCTAATCCTGGTGTGGAATGGTTCTGTGATGGAAACAATTACATAAATAGTGGAATTCAGAGGGAAGGTTATGCAATTGTTAGTCTCCAACAGGCTATCGAGGCAAAGGTGTTTCTTTCAAACACCTTAGCATAAAAGCTGAAATCATTGCCATTACCTGAGTTTTACAGCTAGGAGGAAAAAAGCTAGTCAACATCTATACTGACTTCAAATATGCTTCCTTAATCCTTCATGCTCATACAGCCATATGAAGAAAATGGAAACTCTTAGCCAAAATAAAATAAAATAAAAAGATTCCTCAATTAAGCATGGACTCAAGAGTCTTTTCCTCCTACAAGCATTGTTACCTACCCAGGTAACAGTAACAGTAAAGTGCTATTCTCCCACAATCCAGGGAAATGCCTTGGAATTTAGAGTGCATGGAAGAAGCTTGTGACACTCCTGATCCCAAACATAAGAGGAAGCCCTTCCTATTCAGAGATTGAAAGGGAATGGGCAAGGCAGAGGGGATATGAACTAGCAAAACAGTGGATTGAGGAGAAAAGTCATAACTTTTTATTACCTCAGGCTGACCAATAAAATATTATTAAATAATATTTAATAATGATTCATACCATTTAGGAAGGAAAGTACCGACAACTTTGATCAACCATGCTTTGGGGAGGTATAAGTCTTGAGTCCACTGTTCCAGAAGTCAGAGTCTTGCCCCTCTTTGCCACTGCAACAATCCAGGAGGAAAAGCTAAGCTTCCACCTTTGCTTAACCCAGGTGAGGTAGTTTCCCAGGAAAGGACTGTCAACTAAAATTCACCCAGTTGCTCCCATTCCATGGATACAAATGCCTCTTATTTTTTATGCCACCTTCTCTGAATAATTAGAAGCACATCTCATCTAGATTTTTAAAACCCAAAAGTCATTACAGCCCTGTTAAAAGAAACTATTCCTGAGTTTGAAATTTCCAAATCACTTTAGAATGATAATGAAGCTCCCTTTGTTTCCAAAGTAGCACAGAAGGTCTTACAAACTTTAGGAATAACTTTTTATCTTCCACCTTTTAGGACACTCAGGCTTCAAGAATGGTTAAAATGGCTAATTTACATAGTAAAGCCACCTTGGCAAAATAATGTAAAGAAGCTTGAGTCTTGGCTTTGACTATTACCTATTGCTTTGCTAAGGATCAGATTTGCCCTGAAAGCTTCTCCTCAACTAAGCCCTTAAGAAACACTCTATGGAAGGCTTTTCTGAGCCATGATCTAGTCACAGACCCTAAACTATAGGAAATGATTAGATTCATAATTAATCTAGGTCAAGTACCAAATGCTTCACTAGCGTATGATAGTAAAGTCCTTCCAGCACCAGACTCTGTAATCCACATCTCTAACATTCAACCCAGAGATTAGGTGTTACTTAAAGTTTGGAAAATAGTGTAATCTTTAGACCAGCTCCTCCCTAATGCAAAGGTTCCTACCAAATTCTTCTAAGCAACCCCCAGTAGATGTTAAGCTACAAGGGCACACATCCTGCGTTCACATACCAAGAATTAAACCTGTTCCTTTTGAAACTTTACAAGACTTGAGAAAACAAGGAAATAGAGACCTATGCACAATATTCCTGCAATTCTTTAGAGGACTTGAAAATGTTATTCATGAAGTAAAACAATCAGATTCTGGATAAATTAGATAAATTTATTTTGCTTAAATATATATATCTCCTCTCATAACCATACTATATCTGCTCAAATCAAAACTTGTCAATTCATTTTCTCCTAACTCTTACAGCATTCGCCAATGAAGGAACTGTTTTCCATGAATGAGCCCAATATGCTGATGACATTAATAAAGATGCATTGTGGATTTGTAGAATGTTGCCCACTTCTAGTGCACCTGGGTTACCACAGTTTGGGTATCTCCTTGACATGTAAATGGCTGGGTGAGGCTCCAAACACTTATAGAGCAACAACGAAGTTATAGCCAAAAATTTGAATCTTGTTATCAGATCTACTGTCTTTCAAGTACCTGTAAGGGAAACCCTTCATCAAAAGAGCAAATAAAGAGCCAGGAGACAATTTTTCTCTTGGCAAAACTAATAATGAAATATGGCACTACACAAATCCTGCCTATCCCAGGTTTCTAACACACTTGTGAAAAAAGATGATAATCACAGATTTGTGGGTAGATATTTTCACATTTGAGATGAGCATATCTGGCTGATATCTACTATAAGACAACTCAGCCAGATATCCTGGGAACAGAAAACCATATTCATGATAAATAGAGTGATGCCATCCAAAATATGGGATGAATTTCTACACCAAGCTCTGATCACACTACTGCTTTAGGACATACTAACTTGTTCACTACCTATTACAAAACAAGAGCTGGGATAAAATGGCAACCCCCAATCAGTACTCCATCTGTCTTTTTTGGCACATGTCTATGAACAAAGTTGCCTTCAGGGTGGATAGGAAGATGTACTTTAGAATATCCAGGGGTACAAGGGTACTGGTTTAAAACCTTAGATCGGCCTGCTCCCGACCCAGCCGCCATCGCTCAAGCGCAGGGAAGGTAGCCGCTCGGGTGCCCCTGAACCTCCATAGCACCCCCCCACACTCTCAGACCTCCTGACTGTGCAAGTCTTTGGACCCACTCTGCAAAGACAGAGGTGGTCATCAAGGGTATTTTTCTGAGTTCCCAACTTTGAATATCTTTAAAGAAAGGGCGTGGGAAACCTGTAATAGAACGTTGCAGAGTTCACCATTCAGAAGGATGGGGAACTCAATCTGGGCCTTGCAGCCCGAGGTCAGTCAGCGTCAGGGGGTTCAGCCATCAGCTAACTGAGATCAGGGGTCTTGCATCCTTGCTCTGTCTGAGCCATTAAATGGTAAATACACTATATTGAAATTTTGTTCACTGCAGACATGTTCTGGACTGCTTCTTGATTTCAATTTAATTCAAATGATTTAAGGGTGATAGACTAGTGACTACCACAGGTGGTCAGTGTCCAAGTTGTGCTTGATCTTAATGTGTTGCTGATTGTATCAGTTGGGGTAAAGCATTGCCATTGATTTGATGAGCCGTTTTCTCTGATGTTATGAAGATGAGAACATCTGTGGGTCGTTAGAGACACAGAAGCTAGGGTGCAACTATATCAGGAAGATTTGGGTGATAATCCAGAGGTTAAACCAAGGACAGTTTGACAACAAAAATTAAAATGAGAAAACACTTAAGCAAGACACAAGGACAGACTTTCAGTTTACCAATGGCAAACAGTAGGGCAAATGAGGATGAAAAGGCCGATAGTGAACCACCAGGACACCCTGAACTCAAAGCACAGGAAGTAACAAAACAAATCAATCAGGCTCTGGAAAAATTCAAAACAGAAATAATTTCCCAGATAACCATAGAGATAGTGAGCAAAATGGAAGTCATGATTCAAGACAAAAAAATAGATGAGCTCAGAACCATGATGGAAGCCATGAAGGCCCAGCATAAGAAAGAAATGGAAACAATAAACGCCCAACATAGGAAAGAAATGGAATCCATAAAACAGATTCAAACAGATATCCAGGAGATTAAACACTCCATTGAAAGTGTATGCAACAGAATAAAAGAATGAGAAGATAGGCTCTCAGATAAAGAAGATAAGATTGCAGTCAGTGACCATGAAAACAGAGGTCTCTTAAAAACAGTAAGAGATCATGAGAAATTGATCCAACAACTCCTAGATGATGCAAAGAAGAATAACATAAGACTGATAGGAATCCATGAAGTAGCAGGAGAAAATACAAATGACTT